CATTTAAAGTATATAACATGTTTTTTTTTAGAATTCAAGCCATCTAAGTATGTGACGTTTGTAGGATTCTCTCTTCTTTAAATCACAAAAATATTATTATTTAAAAAATACATTATTATAACAATACTTGTTATGACTTTGTAATTATATTAATGAATAGACAAGCATAAACTTAATTTGTATACCAGTCTCGATGAAAAGGCTTGTTACATCTTCAATGGAAATAATTGTAAAAGACTATCTGTTTAAAAGGAACTTGTGTGCATGAATATTATTTTAACTTATTTACCATACCATGCTCAATAAAAAAATGTATTCGCCAAAAATAGTATCAGCAAAATCTTTTTGTTTTTATCTGTATCCCATTCTTGACGTATTCCTTTGTGGCCCATGAAGAGAAAATAGCTGGAACCACAGGTCTCCATCGGTTTTGATGAATCTCTTTATCTGCGCCCCCCCCCCCCCCCATGTAAATCATATATTACGTAAAATATTATAACCCCCCCCCTCACACACACATTACTTGCGTGTTATGTACAAATTGCCCGACCCCTAAGGCGAGATGTTTTCCTGACTATGACTCACACAGACTTAACTCTAGAATACCAGACTTCCTCAGGTATTAAAATTGCAACACGTGAATTATTCACCGCATCTTGTCATGTCCCCATCAACCACATGCACACATTTCTCTCATACTCGCATTGTTATAAAAAAAGTTAATTTCAACACAAAGGGAAGTAATGTGAAATAACTTTAGGAGAGATTTAATCTAGTTGATGTCTACTATAAAATCTATTTTATGGGCGATAACAGGAACCCGATCGGTTTTTATGTAATTCTGTACCATGGGGGCCACACCCAGCACCTAATACCCGCTGTAATAACTTAATTGGCTATTGTTATTAATTAGTTATCTAATTTAAGATTGTTTAAAGATTTTTAATGAATATTTTGTGAATTAGTGATGAATGCGGCCGTGTGATGGGAGACTGGTGAGGGAGCTATCACTGGCACCATCGTGACGAGGCGTTGGCCCACCTGCTTATGGCTGATGTTTAGAGCTTGCACGAGCGAGATGCGTACGAGAATGTGTGCGCATGGGTCCCACGTGACCAGGTGTAATTCTCCCGTTGATTGGCTCTTGGGGCGGCACTCGGAGGGACGGTGCGCTAATTATTTGGATGTGCACGCGATAGTGTGTCCCCGGGGAGGGGACGTGAGATAAGGTACGGGCGGGGTGGTGTTGATGGCTTGTGTTGGGGTGATGTTGTTGAGGGGGTGGGGTATGGGGGTGTTAGGGTAGAGGTGTGTGTGAGTGACTAGTTTGATGTTTGGGGTAGATGAAAGGTAGAGGAGGTATAGATGAAAGGTAGAGGAGGTGTAGATGACAGGTAGAGGAGGTGTAGATGAGAGGTAGAGGAGGTGTAGATGAGAGGTAGAGGAGGTGTAGATGAAAGGTAGAGGAGGTGTAGATGAAAGGTAGAGGAGGTGTAGATGAAAGGTAGAGGAGGTGTAGATGAAAGGTAGAGGAGGTGTAGATGAAAGGTAGAGGAGGTGTAGATGAAAGGTAGAGGAGGTGTAGATGAAAGGTAGAGCAGGTGTAGATGAAAGGTAGAGGAGGTGTAGATGAAAGGTAGAGGAGGTGTAGATGAAAGGTAGAGGAGGTGTAGATGAAAGGTAGAGAAGGTGTAGATGAAAGGTAGAGTAGGTGTAGATGAAAGGTAGAGGAGGTGTAGATGGGGAGCAAATGTGAGGTAGGAGGAAGAGAAGGTAGATGTAGATGAGGGGAAAGACGTTGATCCTGTCTAAAACTGTTGAGAGTTGATTTGTCAATATAGAGGCAACTGATACGTGTGACATTTTTACAGCATGTTGTGATAAGATGTACTGGTGATGGCGTTCTAGGCCAGTGTAGGACATTATGTGACCTTATGGTAGGACATTGGGATCTAGGCCAGTGTAGGACATTCAGTTACCTTATGGTAGGACATTTGAATCTAGGACAAAAAAGGACATCCAATGACCTCCTGTTGGCCGAGTGTAGAGACCGACGACAATATCTTCGCTCATTAAGTTAATTAAATTCCCCCCGAGTGAAGGAATAAAAGTTTGATGCGGCTTGGCCACCGTTAGTCGCTAATTACGAACACAATGGCCCCATCAAATGTTAAACTAGTTGGCGTGCCTCGGCCCAGGGTGAGTATCGCGGACACAAATAGAGCCGTTAGGTAGCGTGAGGGTCGGTTAAAGATGCATGAGTCTCGCTTTTGCCCAGCCATTTCCCGGCCGTACTGGGGGTCTAATGTTGAAGTTTTGCGAGAGTTTCGCCCTCCGAGTCACGGAATCGTCTCATTCTTTTGTTTAGAAAATTTAATTCCATTCAGGTATAAGTTAATCGCGGGTGTTTTTTTTTTTTTTTTTTTTTCATTGTTAACTTTTAAATCAATTTTTTTTTCTTTTAATTCTTTCGCTGATTGAAGTGCATTTTCTATGTTCGTTTATTTATTAGATTTCGCTGCAAATTGCCTTATTGGATGAGTTTTTTATTTTTACCTGAAGATTTGGAATTCTGGGAAGAAAAATGTTTTGTGTTTTTTTTTTCAACGGCTAGCATGCCATTTCTAATTATGAAATTAAACGTTAATTGGATGTATGCGTGCAAGCCCACTAATAACATCTGTTGATAGGAGTGGTGAGGGGGTGGGGGAGGAGGTGTGGGGGAGGGAGGGATTTTTTTTTTCAGCGTTGGAGTGTGCCTCTTCTGGGGCAGTTGCCCTTTCATGATGTCGTGTCTGGTGAAGTTTGAGCGATTGGCATCGTTTAAGAGGCTGGGTTTGTTTAGGTCGATTGCGCATGACAGCTGGCCTCAAGAGCACCTGACCGCCATCTTGTGACGTCATCGCCGGTGACGATCGAATCGAAAAACACCAGCACAAAAAAATGTTCAGCGAATTGCTTTTGTATGGGGGTTTAAGCGTTAGGTGAAAGGTGTAGATTATCAGTGGGTGATTTACTCATCGTTATACAGGTCATTGATTTTTTAAAGTACTGAACAGATTGCTTGAAGTTTTGATGAAACTGAGTAGTTGTCATTTTGGAGCAAACTATGATTTACATTCCTCATAAGTTCATTTAAGAATCATAAATATAAATATACATGGGGATAATGGGGTCAATACTATGCCCAGCCGAATTTGGTTCCCTAACGTAAGTCAGGTACCCATTAGAACTGGGTGAACTCAGGGACGTCCTACATATTCCAACCAGGGATCCGATCCCTAGACTTTGGGGTTAGTAATTGTAAGCTCTAATACCAGACCACGACCTTCCCATATACATATATATATATATATATATATATATATATATATATATATATATATATATATATATATATATATATATATATATATATATATATATAATATATATATATATATATATATATATATATATATATATATATATATATATATATATATATATATATATATATATATATATATATAATATATATATATATATAATATATATATATATATATATATTATATATATATATATATATGTATATATATATATATGTATATATATATATATATATATATATATATATATATATATATATATATATATATATATATATATATATATATATATATATATATAACATGTACCTGCGTGTTTTTTTTAAAAATTAAGATGTAGTGGCTGATTTGAATACGGCTATTAAGAATTTAATGAACGCACTCCATCAAACCAAGCCATTATTCCTGCAGTGGACCGAACCATCAAGTCCGCCATAAAGATTTGACAGGGTCTTGAAAGAGAATGAGCTCTCTCAAGTCAACTCGAGTTCGATTTATGAGGCTCGTTCATTGATGCAAAGAAATCGCGAGGCGGCTCCCTGCTATTTAACCCGGCGATTAAGGTGTTCTAATCGCCGTTAACACGGTGTTCAAGGAAGCAAGAGGAGAGAATCACCGCTACTTTTGATTGTTTCGCTGCCCGGAGTTACTGCCCTTGCAGGAAGTCAGCACCGAAACGAAAGTCTGACGAGTACCGGAAGTCTAAGGTATGATGGGGGAGCAAGTTGATTTCAAGAAATCAGGTGGGCTATTCAAAAGTTTACGTGATATTTTACGTCTGTTCTGGCACTTCCGGTGGAATGTTCCATTTCTCTAAATATAAACTTATTAAAAAATTTTGGTCAGCTCACTTTATCAAAGGATCGAAGAAACAGAAAAACGATTCTTTTTGTTCTGATTACTATTAAAGAAATCGAATATTGATTGATTTATTGTTTTATTTTTACAGTTGATTTGTGCCGTGACTGTAGAGCAGTGCCTTACCTGTGGCTCGTGCTAGTCATAGGGGAGTAATTAACTTTAGGGGAGTAATTAACTTTTCTTAAAGAACTGCCGTTGACAAGATGGCGCACGGGAAGAAAAATAAATGCATTGTGGGTGTTGGCTTTGATGTAATGAGCAGGGGGTATAAAGGATGGGGGTGTATTGGAATAAAACTTCTCTCACCCCTCGGGGAGGAGAGGGTGGGGTGGGGGAGGGGGTGGTAGCGCAGGGTACCAGCACTTTATAACCACGGGCTGGAAACGGACAATATTAACCGGTTGGGTGGTTTTCTGTTCGCTTATCAAACGATGTCATAGAGTTTTTTTTTTAATTAAAGGGACTGAATTCATTGCGTTTTTTAATTAAAGGGACTGAATTCTTTTGAATCTTCCAGCCATAAGTGAACTGAACGAGCTATGTAAATTTAATGTGTCAAATGTTCGACTGTGTTTGAGAGATGGATTTCTTTCATGAACGATTTTCTATACAATATCGATCATTAAATCTTACTTTTTGTGTTGACAAAAGAAGAATGTCCAGATATTAGGTCTAGTACTTGGGATAAAAAAATAAGTTTTTAACAATAATGAGGCTTACTGAATTATAATTTTTTAAAGACGGTGGGTATGTTCATGCTATTTTAGGTTTAATTTAGAGGCTTTGTTTTGCCTAGATAAGGTATTGGAGGCTTTGGTTTGCCTAGATAAGGTATTGGAGGCTTTGGTTTGCCTAGATAAGGTATTGGAGGCTTTGGTTTGCCTAGATAAGGTATTGGAGGCTTTGGTTTGCCTAGATAAGGTATTGGAGGCTTTGGTTTGCCTAGATAAGGTATTGGAGGCTTTGGTTTGCCTAGATAAGGTATTGGAGGCTTTGGTTTGCCTAGATAAGGTATTGGAGGCTTTGGTTTGCCTAGATAAGGTATTGGAGGCTTTGGTTTGCCTAGATAAGGTATTGGAGGCTTTGGTTTGCCTAGATAAGGTATTGGAGGCTTTGGTTTGCCTAGATAAGGTATTGGAGGCTTTGTTTTGCCTAGATAAGGTATTGGAGGCTTTGGTTTGCCTAGATAAGGTATTGGAGGCTTTGGTTTGCCTAGATAAGGTATTGGAGGCTTTGTTTTGCCTAGATAAGGTATTGGAGGCTTTGGTTTGCCTAGATAAGGTATTGGAGGCTTTGGTTTGCCTAGATAAGGTATTGGAGGCTTTGTTTTGCCTAGATAAGGTATTGGAGGCTTTGGTTTGCCTAGATAAGGTATTGGAGGCTTTGGTTTGCCTAGATAAGGTATTGGAGGCTTTGTTTTGCCTAGATAAGGTATTGGAGGCTTTGGTTTGCCTAGATAAGGTATTGGAGGCTTTGTTTTGCCTAGATAAGGTATTGGAGGCTTTGGTTTGCCTAGATAAGGTATTGGAGGCTTTGGTTTGCCTAGATAAGGTATTGGAGGCTTTGTTTTGCCTAGATAAGGTATTGGAGGCTTTGGTTTGCCTAGATAAGGTATTGGAGGCTTTGGTTTGCCTAGATAAGGTATTGGAGGCTTTGGTTTGCCTAGATAAGGTATTGGAGGCTTTGTTTTGCCTAGATAAGGTATTGGAGGCTTTGGTTTGCCTAGATAAGGTATTGGAGGCTTTGGTTTGCCTAGATAAGGTATTGGAGGCTTTGTTTTGCCTCGATAAGGTATTAGAGGCTTTGTTTTGCCTAGATAAGGTATTGGAGGCTTTGGTTTGCCTAGATAAGGTATTGGAGGCTTTGGTTTGCCTAGATAAGGTATTGGAGGCTTTGGTTTGCCTAGATAAGGTATTGGAGGTTTGTTTTGCCTAGATAAGGTATTGGAGGCTTTGGTTTGCCTAGATAAGGTATTGGAGGCTTTGTTTTGCCTAGATAAGGTATTGGAGGCTTTGTTTTGCCTAGATAAGGTATTGGAGGCTTTGGTTTGCCTAGATAAGGTATTGGAGGCTTTGGGTTGCCTAGATAAGGTATTGGAGGCTTTGGTTTGCCTAGATAAGGTATTGGAGGCTTTGTTTTGCCTAGATAAGGTATTGGAGGCTTTGTTTTGCCTAGATAAGGTATTAGAGGCTTTGGTTTGCCTAGATAAGGTATTGGAGGCTTTGTTTTGCCTAGATAAGGTATTGGAGGCTTTGTTTTGCCTAGATAAGGTATTGGAGGTTTGTTTTGCCTAGGTAAGGTATTGGAGGCTTGTTTTGCCTAGGTAAGGTATTGGAGGTTTGTTTTGCCTAGGTAAGGTATTGGAGGTTTGTTTTGCCTAGGTAAGGTATTGGAGGTTTGTTTTGCCTAGGTAAGGTATTGGAGGTTTGTTTTGCCTAGGTAAGGTATTGGAGGTTTGTTTTGCCTAGGTAAGGTATTGGAGGTTTGTTTTGCCTAGGTAAGGTATTGGAGGTTTGTTTTGCCCAGGTAAGGTATTGGAGGCTTTGGTTTGCCTAGATAAGGTATTGGAGGCTTTGTTTTGCCTAGATAAGGTATTGGAGGCTTTGGTTTGCCTAGGTAAGGTATTGGAGGTTTGTTTTGCCTAGGTAAGGTATTGGAGGCTTTGGTTTGCCTAGGTAAGGTATTGGAGGCTTTGGTTTGCCTAGATAAGGTATTGGAGGGTTTGTTTTGCCTAGATAAGGTATTGGAGGCTTTGGTTTGCCTAGATAAGGTATTGGAGGCTTTGTTTTGCCTAGATAAGGTATTGGGGGCTTTGTTTTGCCTAGGTAAGGTATTGGAGGTTTGTTTTGCCCAGGTAAGGTATTGGAGGCTTTGGTTTGCCTAGATAAGGTATTGGAGGCTTTGTTTTGCCTAGATAAGGTATTGGAGGCTTTGGTTTGCCTAGATAAGGTATTGGAGGCTTTGGTTTGCCTAGATAAGGTATTGGAGGCTTTGGTTTGCCTAGATAAGGTATTGGAGGCTTTGTTTTACCTAGGTAAGGTATTGGAGGCTTTGGTTTGCCTAGATAAGGTATTGGAGGCTTTGTTTTGCCTAGATAAAGTTCTTGTTTAGAAGCTGACCCAACAGGGGATCTGCTGAACATTTTTAATCACCAGGAGAAAATCAGACGGATGATGCATGTTTGTAATGTGGGACTGCGTTCTTTATCTAACTGTAGTCAAGTTTGTCGGAGTCGAATCTTTGACATATTTTATAGTATATTGTGTCAATGGTTATTCAGTATTATTATAATTAGTATCATCATTATTAGGGTTGCCAGATACCTTTTCCGAAAATACTGGACACCTTTCCATCCTTCCCTTCTCAGGTATGCCGCAAAGCAGAAGAAGGGGGGAAACAGAGTATTATTCATATACTTGTCCAGTATTTATATTTATTTTATCATGGACAGTCTGCTCAAATACTGGACTGTCCAGTTCAAAACTGGACACCTAGCAACCCTAATCATTATCATCATTACCAGTAAAATCATCATCATTATCATCATCATCATCATCATCATCAACATCATCATCATCATCATCATCAACATCATCATCATCATCATCATCAACAACATCATCGTCATCATCATCAACATCATCACCACCACTACCACCAGAATCAACATCATCATCACCATCATGATCTCTCCCCATCAGGACCCAAAGCTCATGAAGCCGTCAACAGAAAGTTGTTTCCATTTCTGCTGGTTTTCGTCAACTTCCACGGCATAAGTATCTTCTCCTCACCAGATGCTTCTTGTCTGTATGTCCCCAAGTTCCACAAGTCGTTCATATTTTGACTTTATGGTGTCCAAAGTGGAGAATTTGGCCAGAATTTCTTCTGACTCATCCAGTACCATCCTCTTTTTGTCTCACACGTCTGAACTGTTAATTGTTATTACATAATATTAATTTTTACTTTCTTTCGCATTGTTGTAATTTGTAAAATTAAATAATTTTGTTTTTTAAATACTATTTTAAATAATCACATTAGTATTGATTAGTATTACAATCATCAATCACACTAGTACTCCCATCCTTTTTGTATCAATTTTTATTTAAGTCATATTTGTATAGGCCGACACTGTTTTAGTCATATTTGTATAGGTCTACATTATTGTAGTCATGTTTGTATACGCCTAAATAAATGAAAGTCATATTTGAATAGGTCTACATAAATTTAAGTCATATTAGTATAGGTCTACATAAATTTAAGTCATATTAGTATAGGCCTACATAAATTAAAGTCATGTTTGTATAGGCCTACATTATTTTAGGCATATTTGTATATACATAAATTAAAGTGATATTTGTATACTATATGAACTAAAGTCACGTGAATTTGTACACCTTTAAAATACCGGTTTAGAAGTTTAAACTCCTCTCACAGCGCCAATCAAATACTGTAGTTAAAAATCGTTAAGCTCCATAAGCTCCGTATATTTTTGTTTTGTTTGAAAGCTGTTTTAAAGTGTACGCTAGTAAGGGAAATTACCTGGTATGGACAAACAATGCTAGGTTTAAATGGGAGGTAATACAGAAAATGGGAGGCTACTCAGAAGATAAGTAAATAAGAGTCATTAACAAGACAATGTTACACCTATAGGCTTTTAGTCTGTCGAATGTCGGACGATTATAATCTAAAAAATGTTTCGAGTAGATTTAACACGTAAAATGTCCTGAAATAGCGCTTGAATTGTATTCTAATTGCTGTAGCTGCTGAAATAAGGTATTGAACTGAGGGGTAAATATTGTGTTCTGTTGGGCGACATTCAATTTTAGCCCGGTTGTAGTTTTTTAAAGCTGTGTTCTTCTGACACTTAATACTGGGGAGGGACCGTCGGGGACAAGACAAGCGTCTGCGACTCGCTGACTCCCCGACTCCGATGTTGGGGTTGATTACAGGGCGTGTGGGCCCACCTCGCATTGTGTGAGGGGGAGGGGGGTGTTACGGCGGGGCCCCGAAAAGTTGTAAATCTTCCTAACCCGCCCCAGTGTTTAAGTGACGTTTTACACGGGTTTATCCCCCCCTCTTAAATCAAATAAACACGGTAGCTTCCCTTAGTCGTGAGCATATGCTGCTAACAACCCCCCGTCATGACGCCAGGGAAATTATCGGTTTTGAATATTTGAAACACAAAAAAAAAAAAATCGTATTAAAACGGTGTATTCAATGAATAGTTTAAGAACCGAGGGGAGAGAATACGCCTAATTTCATATACGGAGTTGTTGAGCTTGTATTAGGAATTACACGTTGTGAAGCGGGGACCGGCCGGCCTTTACCGGCTTTGGTGAAGTACCGGCTATTGTTGGTTGACAAGCCGGCTATTGTTGCCGGACGGGTGATTCCCGATATAGGAGGTGCGGCGACAAGCAGCAGATTTTCCCGATAGCCTCCCGTCTCGGTCAGCCGTCTGGGCGTGTATTGTGTCGGGTGATCTCCCTTTGGAGAAAAAAGGAGGCTCTTCTCTCCCTTTAAATAGATGTTTAAGTGTTTTCCAGCGAGAGTTGCTGCCCCCGAGATGGTCTGTGATAACACGGAGACCAGATACATTTCGTAAACGCTGCTAACCCTTTAATAGCGGAAATGATAGAGTAACTGGGTTGACGTTCAGACGATTGTATCGCGGGGGTTAATCTCATGTTGCTGACTGACCCGAAGGACAACTACAGTGGTGCTAATTAATTATTAAATATAACCGTCGTATGCATCCGTTTCCTGACGCTAATTGGTTATTTCACAGTTTAGGATTATTTTTTTTAAAAAGATTTTTTTTTTGGTAAAGCTTACAATTTAAGATAGATTTTTGTCGTGAAAATTAGTGTAGATATGGCATGAGGATACAGGGTTTTACTAAGGGGGTGGTGTTACTTTAAACATCCAGATAGATTTGTGTTTAATATTTAAATTATAAATCCGATATATATTTAAAACATAACGCATGCAATAAAAACAACGAGAAGCTAAAAAACTAATGAGAGTTAATTAAAATAGATCTAGGTATGGACAGCTTCGATATTACCATTCTTGCTCTGATATAGGCCTACGCTTATCTTTATCACCTATGGGAGTTTTTGTGAATTCTCTCTGTCGTTCTTGAGTGTATCATATTAATTTTTTTGCCTTTTATAAGTACAACTATAACTATGTTTGTCTGCTTGAAGGATAGCAGTAACTGCTGTAAATGTAATCGTAATTATGTTTGTCTGCTGTAAATGTAACAGTAACTATGTTTGTCTGCTGTAAATGTAAATGTAATAGTAATTATGTTTGTCTGCTGTAAATGTAACAGTAACTATGTTTGTCTGCTGTAAATGTAACAGTAACTATGTTTGTCTGCTGTAAATGTAAATGTAACAGTAATTATGTTTGTCTGCTGTAAATGTAACAGTAACTATGTTTGTCTGCTGTAAATGTAACAGTAATTATGTTTTTGTCTGCTGTAAATGTAAATGTAACAGTAATTATGTTTGTCTGCTGTAAATGTAACAGTAACTATGTTTGTCTGCTGTAAATGTAACAGTAATTATGTTTTTGTCTGCTGTAAATGTAAATGTAACAGTAATTATGTTTGTCTGCTGTAAATGTAACAGTAATTATGTTTTTGTCTGCTGTAAATGTAACAGTAACTATGTTTGTCTGCTGTAAATGTAACAGTAACTATGTTTGTATGCTGTAAATGTAACAGTAACTATGTTTGTCTACTGTAAATGTAACAGTAACTATGTTTGTCTGCTGTAAATGTAACAGTAACTATGTTTGTCTGCTGTAAATGTAACAGTAATTATGTTTGTCTGCTATAAATGTAACAGTAACACATGAAGTGGAGTCTACATGCAAAACGTGCTACGTTACCACATATTGTCTTTTAAGAAATTGACTTATATTAAATTTTCTTTGACGATTTTTAAAGATTTTGTTTTTACTGTTAAAAGATTTATTGAAAAGCATCTCTTTTTGAGAAAAAAATGTTTTAAAACAGTAAACAGACAATTCTTGAACCAGTCTTTATGGATAATTGTTTTTTCCCCCCAAAAGTTTGCCTTAGCTAATGTTGCAGTGAACTCCCTTGTATCGTCTGCTAGTGTCAACGTATCCTGTCTATGATTTATCTGCCAGTTGATAATGCTGCAATAATTGTATCTAACTCTCAGAGAAATTCAGCAAAGACTTAATACTCTCAACCCCTTTGATACAATTCTAAGATACATTAATATATTTCGTCTCAGTCTATGACATTAAAGCGAAAACGAATCAAAACATCTTTCTCTAATTTCCTACACCGGCGTCAATAAAACCAGGAAATAGACAAGCTATCGGTTGCCTTCGATCTGAAAGTGATGTGAACGAACCATGAATATTTGCGTCACCGCGAAACCCTAGCCCGCGCGCTGAAGCACAGCGGCAATAAATAGCGCCAAAACAGGAACTAAGTTATTACAATCGTGGTGAGATGGCCGCTTGCTAGGGACGCCTGACCGCTTGTTTGGGGTTTTAGGATAAATCTTACCGCTTAGCTGTTGTCTCCCCTCAATGACGTCACGGCGATTAACTTCTGTAATAAATCGAGGACAAGGGGCGTTAACTCAATTATTATTCAAAACCGCGAGCTAGAGTTACCCCGTTTGTTGGGGTTAGGATGCAACCTTCCCGGAAATGGAACTTTCTTCCGCGGTCGCCATTTTGAATATTCACCAGTCTCGGGTTTCCCGTTGGACGAGAGCGTGAACGAGATCGAGAGTTTGGTGGGGGATAAGCGACGAGAATAGAGGCAAGGAGCTGCGGATTAATTTCTCATTTTTGTCGGCGCAAATCGCCAGAATCTCACGTTGTTAACGGCGATAAATCCTCGCCAACCGCGACAGTAACTGTCCATAATTGCCGCCCCTGACTAGAAGACACTAATCACAGGCCGGGCACCATGGACGGCCAGTGAGAGACCAATGGACGGCCAGTGGGGAGACCAATAGACGGTCAGTGAGAGACCAATGGACGGCCAGTGGGGAGACCAATGGACGGTCAATGCGGAGACCAATAAGAAAGTAAATGGACGCTCTATGCACCGATCTATGTACGGTTGGGAAGAAAATGAATGGATAATAAATTGGTGTTCAAAGATTTGGACGGTCAGCTAAAGACTGACCGGACGGCTCAGTGTGATAGTAAATAAAGGATGAGTTGAGTAAATGAATGGTCATTAGGACAGTAGCAGCGGAGAATATGGACGGTCATTGAATATTGTTAGGATAGGAAGTAGTGGAAACAATAGACTGTCATTGTAAAGTGTGAGGGTAGGATGTATTGGAAAAAATGGATGGTCTATACAGCCGAAGTTAAAATTAGAACGTGTAAAAACAGAAGGGCTGCTTTAGAGGGTCAAAGGTGAAAGATACAAACTATTTTAGGACGGCCCAAAACTTGGTGTCAAAAATAAAACAGGAGAACCAGAATATGGACGGCCAAAACTTGAGTTCAAGCAGAAATATACAAACTTGATGTCTAGAAAAATATATGAGAACCAGAATATGGACGGCCAAAACCTGGGTATTATTCCAGAGCGTCGCTATTGCCATAATAGTCGAACACAACAAGACTGTGTTCTTGTGTAGCCTGGATGTAGACCCTAGTCGTCTTGGAAAATCTATTTCCTGTCTGCTAGAGCAATGTGCGCGTCATGATTGGGGGAGGCTCGTTAACTTGTCGGTTTAACATTTTATGTGGGTTAACTTTATACAAATCGTCAACATAAACCTGATTGTTAACGTGAAAATATTTAACAATGTCCAAATCTGTATAAGTAGCACATCATTGTGTGCAATGTTGGTCGTTAACAATGTTGGTGAATTTATTTCACAAAAC